TTAAAGTGTAGCTAACGTTAGTTTCTTGTAGTGATTTCCACAATTTAGTTACAGGCACGCTGTCGTATGCTTTACGGAGATCAACAAACATGAGATGGGTCTCTTGATTGGTTGCTAATTTTTTTTCAATTAATTGTTTTAGGCAGAAGACATTATCTGTGCAAGTTCTTCCAGCTCGGAAACCAGCCTGTTCTTCTTCTTCTTGTTCCCTATGTTATTTCCCTATGTTATTTCCTTGTGCTTGTTATTTCATTACATATTATCTAGATTTAGCCCTACGGCTCAAACTACCTTTAAGAAGAAAATTCACTCATCCCAGATACCTAATGTATTAAAAGGATTGAGCTCTCATGGGACTCTTTCCGTGTTATCGAGCCTTAAGTGACTTGGTATGCTGGAATATCTCACACAAATGAGGAAGATATTCCACATATGGTCTCTAGGAGGTTTTTGGGAATAACATAAGTAGTAGATAGAGTAACAGGTATTGTCTGGGTACTTTCCATTCTTCTTTGTCTCCTAATTTGAATTTCTAGATCTCTGTACTTGGTGATCTTTTCAATGTATTTAACACGAAAATTATTGGTGTTAAGTATCACCACATCAATTTTGTTTGCCTAGTATGTTTATTAACTAGTATCAGATACGGTCTACTATGTGCTACTGGTTGGTCTGTGAGGTCCCAGTATTCGCGATTAAAAACAAAGTATCTGACCTCTGGCGGGATAAATTTAAACTACTATAAATGGTATAAACAAACCAGACAGCTGTTGATTTGAATAGAATTATTAAATTTTTTTGGTAAATTTCAGCATTATGACTACATTAAAGTATTTTAAATCAAATTGATATTGTTTTGGTCCTCAATGCAATTCAAGATCGACAAAAGATATGTCCCTATTTCTCTTTCCTAAACTTGAAGAAAAAATGAACTGATGCTTTAAAGATTCAAAAAAAGTAACACATGTACGTTTGCAGTCTACATTTTCCTATCAGTGACTTAATTTTGTCAGGTTAGTAATTAAATAATAACGATAATATCCCAAAATACATGTTTATGAATTAAACAAATATTTTGATTCTAATGTCAGACATCTTGCAAATATTGCAGTAACAACAAAGAGAACAAGGCTGAAGAAAAATGCTGTGCCATCCCAAAATTTACTTCAAAGTTCTGCAATTACAAAAATCAATAACCCTGTTATGACACAAATTGGGATGGACAGAATCCAAAGAAGAAATATACAGAGGTATGTATTTACATCACAATATTTTAAACTGTATTTAACATTGTTGTAGGAAGAAATGTTGGAAAATTGTAGTAGAAATCATCCAAGTACATCAGCAATGTATTCCAGTATATATTTTTGTCCAGATTTATCTGAAATCAAACCATTTGGTTGTCTGATGAATGATTCTATTGGTCACTATATTTTGTAAATAAAAGATTTATTTTGTTTTAATAATCCATTATTAATAAAAAAACTACCTTGTGAATGCCTTCATTTTTATTCAGGTAAAACATAAAGATCATTAAATGTTGGAATAAAAGAACATCAAATGTATAATATTAAAAAAAGCCAGTTCCAAACATTAAAGTTAAAATTTAAGAATTCATCACTTGAAAACTGCTTCCCCTTGAACCAATGGGCTCTGCTTCACCACAATACGCCAAGATATCATTAAGACTAATTTCCTTTTTTCAATGATAAAAATAACTCGTCTTAAACCAAACTAAACTTAGAAAAGCAATGGTAAACATTCGACTTTCATGTTTGTTTATACCATTTATATCCGCCATGACACTGCAATCGACCTGCCCTCTACATTCAGTTTTAATCGCGAATAGCTTGTAGTTATCATTTTCAAGCATTCTGTTAGGGACGTATTGGTAATAAGAAAGATGGTCGGTTTGGAAAAGCTCCAGTTTGTCAGCTAGTTCTTGGTGGATAATTTTTCCTACTGAGTCATGGCGTTCTTTATAATCAGTTCCGACAAACGCCTGGCATCTTCGGTAAGATGTTGGATGGTTTCGTGGACTTGACATCCATATCAGGATTTGTTATTTTGAACTTAAGAATCTTTAACAATATAATTGATATACGGTTGAATGCTCTAATAAATGAACTTTGAGAAATTAAGGCAAATATCGAGAACAAATTTAATAATCAAATCTTGCCCAAGTACTTTCGATTTCTACAGCATCATCAGGGGCATTTCGTAAATCTAGGCTATCCAGCAAGCGCAGAATGTAATAAATATGAAATTGGACATAAATTGTACATAACACTACATTAAAATAAGGATAAACAGTTTAAAATTATTAAAAATTATTCTACGCTCTACATTCTTGTCGGCAAGAGGAGACAGAATGAATGCCCGTCCAGAATGACCTGTGAATGAGTCCAGTACTGAAGAAGAAAGGGAGGAAGAAGTAGAAAATAGAGGAGAAGTAAATAAACACAGTAAACAAGAGACAGTAAAACATAATATTAGGAGACTTTAACGCCAAGATTGGAAAAGGAAGAGAAGATGACACGGTGGGGGAGTTTGGCCTCGGAATAGGAAATGAGAGGGAAAATAGACTGCTTCAGTTCTGTAAAGAAAATCAGTAGAGTATAATGAACAGCTTTTTCAAGTTACCACCCAGACGTCTCTACACGTGGAAATCTCCAGCAGATGGAATAGAAGGACGCATCACAAGAAATCAAATCGATTACATAATGGTTAACAAAAGATATAAAAACGCAGTAAAAGCATGCAAGACATACCCCAAAGCTGATATCCCCACCGACCACAATCTTCTTCTGCAAAAATTAGGATAGAATTTAAAAGAACAAAAAGAAATAAGCAAATAATAGCTTTTAACCCAGATAAGCTTAAAGAAGAATCCACTAGTAATAAAATACGAGAAGAAATACATAGACACTTGAGTAACCGAACAGTACAATCGACACAAACTCCCAATAAAGACTGGCACTATATTGGGCAAACACTTACAAGAGTAATAGAAGACTACCTCAAACAAGACACGAAAAAAGAACAAACCATGGATGATAGAAGAAATTCTAAACATGATGGACGAAAGAAGTAAATACAGAGGTAAAAATGACAACATACAAGCAAATACACAAGAATATCAGAATAAAGATCCAACAAGCCAAAGAAACCTGGCTAAGTGAAAGATGCCAAGAAATTAAAAAGTTGGAACAAAGACATGATACTTTAAATCTACATAAAAAAGTAAAAGAAGCCGCTGGAATATTTAAATAAACTCCTACGTCTTTCATAGAAGATAAACATGGGAACCCGCTACTGAACATAGAAGATCAAATAGGTAGATGGAGAGAATACGTGGAAGAGATATTTTAAGACCGAGAGAGGACGAACATTTACATGCAGGAGGCATCGACTGGACCTTATATCACAAAGCAAGAAATTATCAAAGCGGCAAATCAGATAAAGAATGGAAAAGCTGTTGGGGAAGATAATATGCCAATTGAAATAATAAAGATATTACTAGACAAACACATCGAAGTATGGAAGATATATTTAACAAAATATACGAAACAGGCATAATACCAAATGATTGGTTGACATCGGTGTTTATACCACTACCAAAGAAGAGAAACTCCCAGAAATGTGTAGACCATAGGATTATTAGCCTGATGAATCATATGTTAAAGCTTTTCCTACGAGTAATACACAATACAGTATACAATAAACTAGACGAACACACTGGTCAAACTCAGTTTGGTTTTAAGAATGGGTTCGGAACAAGAGAAGCACTTTTTTCATTACGTGTGCTAGTTAAGATGTAGAGATGTCGATTCTGATATATACTTGTGTTTTATAGACTTTAAGAATGCGTTTGACCTGGTAAAACATGATAAACTAATAGATATTTTAAGGTCATGTAATATCGACGATAAAGACTTAAGGATCATTTCAAACCTCTACCAAGAAACAAAGGCTAAAATCAGAATAAAAATTCAAAACACCCAAAAAAATTTTTTTTTGACTGTTTTGAAGGTTGGAGTTCATCGGTTTCTAAACTTCTTCTTTTTCTTAGGGTGCCTGTCCGTTTCAAACGTTGGCGATCATTCTGACTATGATGACTTAGTTGGTTGTTATACAGAATAGCTATGTTGAGGTTTTTCTATACCATGCTCTAAGGTTAGCAAGCCAGAAAATTCCTCTTTGTCCTAGGTCTCTTTTTCCTTTAATTTTACCTTGCAAAATGCATTGGACTAGTTCGTATCTGCCTCGATTTCTCATTATAGGTCCCAAGTACTAGAGCTTACGACCCTTCAGATGTTGACCAAATCCGCGGTTGTGTTCAACCTCCACAGTACTACTTCATTGGTGACTTTGTCTGTCCATGGTATCTTCAGGATCCTTCTGTATAACCATAGCTCAAAAGCCTGAAGTTTTGATAGAGTTTCCGCCTTAAATGTTCACGTTTCTACTCCGTACAGAAGAACTGAGTACACGTAACATTTAAGGAGCCTTATTTTTGTTTCTAAGATGAGGTCATCGCTCTTAAACACCGAGCTCATAGTCAAGAATGCACTTTTTGCCTTTCCTTTGGGTATTGTCCCACGACTCATTGATTATAGTTCCAGTATAGCACATACAGATTTGCTCCAGTTATGTTTTTCTTGCTGATGATCATTAGCTTGGTTTTGCTGGTGTTTATATCCAGTCTATATGTTCTAGTTTTGTAGCCCTTCTATGGTATTGGAAAACACTATTGTATCATCTGCATACCAGAGGTTATTGAGCTTGACTCCATTTATTGATGCCTTCACCAATATCTTTTAGAGCCTGTTCAAAAATGTGCTCCGAGTACAGATTGAATATCAGTGGTGAAATTATTTAATTATATAAATTATTAATTAGTGCTCTAAATGGACACGAGTAAAATTCTATTTTTCTTTCTTAATTGTCCATTTCAAAATTAGTTCTACATTTTTCATGGTCTAAAAAATGAAACATACAAAACTTAATCTTATATTTATTCTTACTACGTCCAAAAATATAAAAAATACACTATTTGTACTAAAAGTAACATACGAGTACTATCCCTAATTCTAAAATTTTCAGTTCCTTCATTACACAAAGTGTGATTACAAAGATGAAAGTGCTTTTTAATGACAGAGTGTCTCCCGGTGACCACCGTGCCCATCATCTCGTGATCTGGTCGCTGGTAACAACCTCGGATCGTTGCCAACACCGTGACGCCTGGCATTTCAGCTGAAACAATAGAAACAATTGGATTAGTAAAGGTCATGGTGTTGTTATTGGCAAAAAGCTTATGATTAATTATAATGTGGATTATAAATTATGAAAGTAGTATAAATAAATAATAAAAAGATAATATTATCAGTGCTTAATAATAAATTAGTTTAATGGGTTTTGATGCGATTTATTGCTAAACTATAGACAGCTGTCTTTGAAATTACAAACAGTAATTTATGCAACAAGTGCACACAGTGGATTTTTTTACTAATAAAAAAGTTGATACCATTTGCTGAAAAAATACTGTTTGTGTTACCATATTTCTCTGCATTTTTATTATATATATTATTGTGATATTTAAAGTCTTAGTGCGCCAAGCAATTGATTAGCTAATTAATTAATTAATTAATTAAAATTATTTAAATGATATGATTATGATTCTCTCACACTTTTTAATTCTCTTATCTCAGGGTTATATTCGTGCTTCAATATCTATACTGTACATGTGAAAGGTAAGATCCAAAGAATACCGGAATAATAAAAAACATACATTATATAACAATATAATATTAAAATAAAAATAATGAAATAAAATTCACACTCAAATGTTTTCAATAAACAATATCTCATATAATGATTCTCAAAATCTTGTTCTACGTACGTGAACCTTCAAAATTAATGGTACAAACAATATTAGTTAAAATCTCAAAATCCCAATTATTATTCTAAATCTTCTAATCAAAATATTTATATCTTTTCTAAAGTAATTGTAAAAATTGTGTTAACAATAAAAGAAAAATTGCAGAAAAACAAAACTATCTCTCTCTGATAATGAGTTGTCCAAATCCTTGTTCCTTGTAGCCTATAATATCTATTCTTAGCAGCTCCCTAGGTAATCAGCAATCTTACAACAAATTGTTGCAAGTTTATCGTCCTTAATGATCTCCTTCAAATGCACGAATCGTTCAAATTATGCTAGCCTCTTCTCCTCTCGATAAACTGAATCTCTCGTTGGCCTGAGTGAAAAATGACTCTTGGAATATCTTCTCTTTACGATAAACTGAATCTCTCGTTGGCCTGAACAGTGACTCTTGGAATATAAGTAGAAAAATATGACTTACAATCTTTTACTGGATCAGCTTCTGTCAGATACACTAACTACACGAAAACTCACAAACTTTCACTGCTACTGCTTCCTACCTCTGGGAAACTACTCGAGAACAACGGCCGTTTGCCTTGCACCCTTGGAAACCAACTGACTATCTTTTTTCTCTTCAAAAACTAACTAAATTCTCATTCTCAAACCAACCATCCCACCTTTTTCAATCTCATCCAATCAAAACGCGTCATACATCTCCCATTTCTTAATTTCGATAACACAAACAAATTTTTATTTACAATTATAAAATTTCCTAAAACTTATTTACAAAATAATCTTTTTCTACCAATTCTTATGAACTAACAAAAACATATTTTTCTAAAATCTAATCTATTGTCCTAATTACTGCACAAATTTATTTGGAAAACCCGCTTCCATTGTCTAGGATTTCACTTACGCTTATGCAGGTCACTCAAATATATTTTAACAAAGAAAATAATTTATGCATATCTTACGTTTTGTTCAATACAGGTAATCCAAAATTAAAAGACTTTCATTCTTCAAAATGTTTGTAGTTTATTGTTTGACTTATCTGAATTGTTTTAATTTTTTTGAACTTTGAAATATTTTAAGCAAACCAATATTTTTCTCGATTTTACATATCATAACAATATATATTTTTCTATATTAATTGAACACATTACAAAATTACAAATAATAACAAAATTAGATTAATTACACGATTTAATTGAAAATGGTAAAAAGACTTATTAAAATAAACAAAATTATGTATCTTCTCTTCTTTTTCTTCCTTTAAATATTTATTGCATTTTTTGTCATCACATGACCTTAATACTCTTGTTTCCAAATAGAATGTTTTTGTGACGATTCAAGTAGATCCCTAGAACTTAATTTTTAAAAACAAGCTCTGGTTCAAAAAGGTAACCGTGGAAATTATGCGAATAGAAGCACTACAGGTATTTATATCCCAGTTAATCTCAGTCCAGTATTGGATCCTCATTATTAAAAAGCTTTTCTTCCTTATATTAAAGTTGTTACTCAACTTACAAAGGGACTAAAGCAAATATATACTCCACACCAAAAACTTTCATGTCTTGTCCTATCCATTATATTATTACATTTTATTCAAAATTGAATACAGAGTTTATGAAGTTCCTTTGTACATATTGTTCAAACACACATAGGCCAAACCAATCGAAGAATCCAAAATTGAATCTATAAACATACATACGTACAGGCTTTTCGTGGTTTGCGCAGATTCTATTTAGTGTCGACCTTTGTCTAGGAGATGATATCAAAATTAACCTAATCATCATTTTAATATATTATGGACCTTGGCAATCCGTGGTTGCACTGTGTTCGCGTTGTTTTTCCACTGGGTGGCTAGAACTACAAAGGTCCCTTGAAAGGTTTGTGCAAATGTCTAGATAGAGTTAAGAAAATCTACTTCTTTGACAGTATTCTTTTCAAAAAGTACTTTAACAGGTTATTAAATAAAGAATTCGACAGGCAACCAGTTAACGGAGACAGTAACAGTAATGGTGGCCGAAATAACAAACGAAGAAGTGACTTAAACCTTTCAAACAATAAAGGAAAGGGAAGCAATTGGACCAGATGATATTCCTGGGAAAGTGTGCAAAGCATTAGGAGAAACAGGGACAAATTGGTGAACAGGTCTATTTAATAGAATTATGGAAGTTGGACAAAAGCCAGTCGAATGGAGAAGCAGTGCATTAATACCTCAGGAGTTACCACTGCCGGTCCTAAGCCCGGGTAAAGAACGAAGGTTGGGCAGTGGGCTGACAATCCACTTTCGGAGTAAAACACAATGTTACGAAACCGGAACATTTACCTCAGGATACAGGATGGAATTTTTAAAAACGACGGAGAGTATCAGCCGAGTTTCCGCCGGGGAATATCGACACTGGATCAAATATTGACAGTCAAACAGATCTTGAGTAATCATGGAAACATGACATTGATGTTCACAACGAGTTTGTATCGTACCTGTTCTTCTAGCAATGTTTTCAAAATACTGCAAATATCTCTGTTGCGTTTGTTTAATCAATCTATTCTTTACTTTAAGTTGTTCTAATATCGATACGTTAGTGCGAAGATCAATCCAGGATATTCTTAAGATGGGGCGGTATACCCACATTTCAAAAGCGTCCAGTTTATTTTTATCCGCTTTCTTTAAGGTCCACGTTTTGGATGCATATGTGGCTATGGGAAAAATAAGTGCCCTTAGCAGCCTTAGTTTTGTGTGTATTGTTATGCTAGAATTTTTCCAAATTGTTATTTGAATTATTCCAAATTGTTACAAATAGAATGATATATTTGGATGGTGAAAAGATTGTGAAGTAATAGTTTTAAGTACCTAGGATCGGTGTTACAGAGTAATGGGGGAATATATGAACATGCAGCAAAATTAGGATTGGATGGATAAAGTTCCAGTGAAGAAATTACAATGAAGCTAAAGGAAAAAAGACTAGCTATGATGTACGGAACTGAATGTTTGATGGTTAAAAAGAAAGAGAAACAACAAATGTATGTGGCGGAAATAAAAATGCTTAGATGGATGAGTGGAGTAACAAAAAAGGATAAAATTAGGAATACGTATATTAGGAGAAGTCTAGGGGTGGCAATTTTTGCTAAAATAAAAGAGTAACATGAAGAATTGCTGTTCATCAGGTTCCTGGAAGAAGTAGGAGAGGAAAACCAAAAAGGACCTGCTGGAAGACGCTTAGGCAGGACATGTTGGTAAAGGGTATTAATATTGATATGAAGAAATGTAATAAGAGAAACCGACCCATATAGGGATAAAGGATAAGATAATAATTGATGCTTGTAAATAGATGAGCTATTAACTTTAAGAAGTTTTAGTCTTCAAAATCTGTCAAAATTTTTGTGAAAAAGATAAATAACTCAAAAAATATGTTGTTGACCTATGGTACGAAATAAAAATTTTGTCTAGAATTTTCTGTAGAATCTCAAAATACGAATAATATACAGGGTGTTCTATTTAAAACAACAAAGTAGATTTGCACTTCCGGTATAACCAGAAGTGGCATGACAGTCAAATATTTTCTTTAAGGTGGTCATAATTTGAAATTCTCATATCGTGTAAGTAGTCTCCGTTATATAGATAGCTAGTAAGCTCATAGTGACACACTTTGTATTTACAGGACCATATCCGGTAGTAAATATCGCAAACCATTTACTTAAATAAATATAACTTCTTCTTATGGTGCCCTATAAAATTAGTGGATGTTGGCGACAATTCTGGCATACTCCTCTCGATCTTGTGTAGCTCTAAAGAGTGCATAAGCATCGAGGTTTGTCCAATCCCTTATGTTTTTAACCCATGAGTATTTCTTTCCTCCGATGCGTTTTCCTTCTTTCTTCCCTTCCCTAATAAGCTTTAAGAACTGGTACTTGGAATTTCGAAATATATGACTCAGATAAGCAGTTTTTCTTCTTTTTATTACTGACAGCAATTCTCGTTCTCTGCCCATTCAAGTTAATACTTCGACATTTGTTGTGTGATCTATCCAGGGAATTTTAAGTAGTATTCCTAAGTAAATACCCACATTTCAAAGGCCTCCAATCGGTTTATCACATTGGGCTTTGCGGTCTAGGTTTCTACACCATACAGAAGTATGGAGTAAATGTAACAATTTACAAAGCGGTATCGAAGTGTTAAGGTAAGGCTGCTATCTCTATTCTGAATTCTGAATGATTCAAAATCTATACTGGAACCAAATGGTAAAGGTGAGGATTGATCAAGACCAATATACGGATGAATTTGAAATCCGGAAAGTTGTCCGCCAAGGCTGCATACTCTCTCCGATGCTTTTTAATTTATATGTTGAAAATATATTTGCGGAAGTATTAGAAGACACGGAATTAGGCATTAAGGTGAACGGCATACCAATTAGCAACCTACGCTATGCGGACGACACAGTGGTTATAACTGATAATTTGGAAGATCAGCAGTTATTACTTGATAGGGTGAATATCATAGGTAAAAAATAAGGCCTCAAAATCAACATTTTGAAAAAGAAATATATGGTCATTAGCAGAAACCCTCCAGAAAACCCGATAATATGCATAGGTCACGATCGTATAAAACGCGTGAAAACTTTAAATACCTTGGCACCACAATCAATGACCAATCGGATCCACAACACGAGATAAAAACCCGAATACAAATGGCAAGACAAGCTTTTGTGAAATTCAGACCGCTCCTATGTAATCAAAACCTAAATTTCGAAATACGCCACAGAATGGTCAAGTGCTACATATGGTCCATCTTGCTTTATGGCATGGAAACGTGGACTTTGAAAAAACATCTATCAACAAACTTAAAGCATTTGAAATGTGGTCATTGAGAAGAATGATGCGTATACCTTGGCTGGATAGAGTTCGAAACGATGACGTCCTTAAGAGAGCCGACGTAGAAAGAGAACTCTTTGAATTAATTAAAAACGCAAGATTGGTTACCTTGAGCACATATTGAGAGGAGCAAAATATAAAATACCACAGTTAATCCTACAAGGGAAGATCGAGGGTAGGAGAGGAGCCGGCCGCAAACAATTATCCTGGTTAAGGAATATTAAAGAATGGACAGGAATACACAATACAGGCCAGCTGTGTCACGCCGCCAAGAACAGAATTCTAGTAATGAGATAGTCGCCTACGCACTTTGGTGTATGGCATGTTAAGAAGAAGAAGCTATCTCTATTTCTGGATCTAGATCTTCAGTTATCCAACTACCGAGATATCTACACTTGGGGACCTTTTGGATGTTCTTATTTTTTACTCTTATATTTAATTGCATATTTCGTGTTTTACTAATCACCATTACCTTCGTCTATATTAATCTTCAAGCCCAGTCGTTCTCCTTCAGTGTTTATTCTATCTATTAGTCATTGTAGCGCTGCTTGGCTATCAGCTATTATGACTGTATCATCAGCATAGCGAAGATTACTAATAGTCTGTCCGTTGATTTTGATTCCATCTTCAGTGCCACTTAAGGCTCAATTGAAAATCGTTTCAGAGTAAATATTAAAAAGGAGGGGTGACAGAATACAACCCTGTCGTATACTTTTTTCGATTGCGAAATATGAAGTAGATTCCAGTCCTACTCTCACAGATGCCACTGATTCATATAAAGGTTCTTTGTGATTTTTTATGATTTTTTATGATTTTTTATGTTTTTTATGATTTTTTATGATTTTTTATGATTTTTTATGATTGTTTATGATTTTTCATGATTTTTTATGATTTTTTATGATTTTTATGATTTTTTATGATTTTTTATGGTTTTTTATAATTTTTTATGATTTTTTATGATTTTTTATAATTTTTTATTATTTTTTTTATGATTTTATAACTAAATTTAACTAAATATAGCTATAACGGAATATAACTAAATATTACTAATATATTAAACTCAATACTTACTCTCATATTGTAAAACAAAACATTTATTGGTACTGCAATTAATAGAGTGAAGATTTATTTTTACTCCATTGTTGCAATCTTTGGAGGTTTGGTGGCAGTAAAAACAGTGAAATGTGGTCGCTGAAACAAAATTGTGAATGCTATAAATTTTTTGTATAGACAATAATGCGTCATAGCACATTTAAAAGTTGAACGATCATTTTTACAGAGTTAATAGCAAAATTTTCAAACTTATGTAATAATTGGTTTGTTGGATTGAATACCTATACAAATTACAAGATTGTAAATCGAGTTTTTATGAAGGTTAAAAATTTTTAAGCAAACGGTCTATTATATAGCACTTGTTGGTCTGTGATCACATTAAATTCTTAGTTAAGGTTAACGCTTTCATTCTCAAGCACACTATTATATTGGTTGGTTTAAAGAAATTCCAGTGTTTTAGTTCTGATGTAATATCTTTCCTACTAAGTCGCATTTCATCTGTCCATTTGCAACACATTCCTGGCAGCCCTCGATAATAGGTTGGATAGTTTTTTAAACTTGACATTAATATCGGAATTGTTAATTTTTGGTTCAAATTACCTGATCCTGAATAGCATATAAAAAAAGCATCTATTTCGAGAAACAACTTTCCTGAAATCAACCTCATAATTTAACTCTATATTGTCAACATATTTAAGGTTAATTTTATTAGGATACCGCTCATGTAGATGTTTTCCGATTTTCCTGTCTTGGAAAGATGGCGTGTGAACATTTATTGTAGTCTCGGACTGTTACTAAAAATACTTTCTTAAATTAACAACCTTAAAATTTAACTGCTACTAAATATAGTGGTAGTGTTTTTTGTTCTATGGTACTTATATATAATGTTTGTATGAATTGGTGGGGAATGTTTTTACTTCACAAATCTCTTTGGAATATAGTGGGATATTCTCAGTTAAGATGTTGCTGTTACCTGCTATATTCTTATTCTTAGAATTTCCTTCTATTTCTTACGGACATTACTTACGCAATGTTTTTTAATCATAGTATCTAATTTCAGATAAATACTGGAAAACAGATTATTTTTAAATTTTTATTATCTTGAAAACTCGATAAATTTCCAATTATTGATTCAGTTCCAATAATATTAACACAAATGTGTCGATGTTTATTATTTTTTTAGATGAAACAAATTTTCACAGAATTAATTCAGAATTTCGTGCTTAGTTTATTGACTCTATTGACTTATTTTTAAAACAAGCATAAACTTGGCGAGATAGATTCATCAGTTCTTTACATGTTTTGTTTATCAATGTAAATTTCTATTTCCTAGTAACAATAAGATATTCCAAATAATCTATATACGATATTTCTAACATTTTGTGATAAAATTGTTTTTGTTAGCATTGTATTGTAATATGTACTTAATTATCATGGTTGTAGACTTAATCACTTTTATGAATAGCTTTATGGTAGATCTTTATATATCTTGCATTTTTTAAGATAACTTTCTATTCCTACCTATTCTTCAGTTTTCTTTCTTTAACTTTTTCTTGAACTTAATACTTAACACTTTGAGTCTTTCTCCCATTTTCTTGTCGTTTGATCTTTGATTATCATCACCAGGGAACGTTACAGCCCTTCGTAAGCCCTGGTCTAACTTAAAACATTCTTCCATCCTTCCCTGTAAAGTATCTGCCTTCTCCATCCTCTTACTCCGATTACCCTTAAATTGTCCTACATCTCGTCCACTTACCTGAGTAGATTACCGACATTCTATATTTCTATTATCATTCTACAAAATATATTTTAATTCTCTTTACATGATCTAACCAACGTAATTTATTTACTTTTACGGATTGGGTAATGTCTGAAGCAACGTAATATGTTTTTGCAATATAAGAAAATATAATGGGTTTATTTATAAACTTAGAAGTATTTCGAAGAAATATATTAAGAAAGGCATAGAGAAGAAGAAAGAAAAACAAAAACGAACACAGAACAATACGAAGAAGAAGCAGAATTGATCTATGCAGAAGTGAAAGAGAAGATTTGCAAACTTAAAAACGGGAAAACAACGAAAGGAGACAATATGTGCAGAACTTATAAAATACGGTGAGGAGGTACTATACAAATAGATTTATAAATTATTACAGAATATATGGAATAAGGAAATAATGCCTGAAGAATGGAAGAAGGGAATTATAGTGACAATCCCAAAACAAGGAGACCATAGAATATACAAAAACTATTTTGCAATTAATCTACTGAATATAACAAATCAAATAATGACTGGTATAATTAAAGACTAACAGTATACACAGAATAAAGCATAGGAAACTACTAGTACGATTTCAGAAAAGAAAGATTCACGATAGATGCTATCCATACGCTAAAATATATGAGTAAGACGAAGAAATATATATACTTTTCCTAGACTTTAAACAAACGTTTGACAAACTAAACAAAAGAAAAATGATCCTAGATTGCTATGAATATGGACAGGTGAAGCCGAAGCAGAGTTAGGAGCTGAAGATAAACCAGCATAGACTCAAGAGCAATTAGAAACTGACTCTAATTTTCATTGGGGAAATCATCAAAATAACAGAAAAATATCTTAAGCCATGAGTCAATTTGTATATAAATATGTACGTCAATAAACAAAATTGTCGATTTTGGGAAAAGCCAGTCTAAATAATTATATCCAATAGTGTCCAAAGAATTCTGAAAAAATCATTGTTTGGTGTGAATTTAATGCTGGCGGTGTCATTGTTCTATACTTTTTTGAGAGTGACGGCGATTATCATCTTTTTTTAACCGTGAATTTGATAATATGAACACCAACGATATTTGGTTTCAACAGCATAGTGCTACATGCCATACAGCTACAGCTTATGCTATATTGGACGTTTTGCTCGAAAGATTTTAAAGCATGGTTACATCTGGTAGAGGTTACGTGAACTGGCCACCAATACAAGTTCCCAGTTTTCCTAGCATTTGTAGGCTACGAAAAAGCTTTCGATACCATAGAACACACGGCCGTAATAAACGCAATGCAAAATTGTAGAATAGACAGCAGATATATTAACTTATGAATATAATAAAATAAACTATGAACCAAGTTACAGCTACATACTACCTAAATGAAAATGAACACAAGAACCCTGTACCATTAAACAGGGGAGTCAAACAGGGAGATACTTTATCACCCAAACTATTCACCTTAGTTTTGGAGGACTTTTTTAAAAACCTAAATTGGAAATATAAGGAAATAAACATCAATGGCCGCTACCTCAGTAATCTACGATTTGCAGATAACATAATCCTGATAGCTACTGAACAACAAGAAATGCAAACAATGCTTCTAGAACTACATACCGAATCTTCTAAAATAGGACTGAAAATGAATTTAAACAAAACGAAAGTCATGCACTCCAAAGACACCGTGAAAATAATAAACGATAAAGTTATAGAAAAAATTAAAGAATATATATACTTAGGACAAAAAATAATACTAAATAGGGAAATTCAAACTGAAGAAATAAAAAGAAGAAGAAAGTTAGCTTGGGCAGCATTCGGTAAACTGAACTATATACTCAGAAATAAAAAAATTCAATTACATCTTAGATCTAAAGTTTTTGATGCATGCATTATTCCGATAAATTAACTTATGCGGCACAAACATGGACAATCACAAAAAAGAATATGAATATACTTAGACTGACTCAACACGTGATGGAAAGAGCAATGCTAGGTATATCACTTAAGGACAAGAAAACAAACACATGGATAAGACAGAAAACCAAAGTCAGCGATGTGGTGCAAAAATCATTAAAGTTGAAATGGGAATACGCTGGACATGTAGCTAGGAGCGATCTAAACAAATGGCACAGATCAATTTTAACCTGGAGACCATACCAGCACAAAAGACCCAGAGGTAGATCTCCTATGAGATGGACAGATGATCTGAAAAGGACTGCTGAGAAAAATTGGCTACAAGTAGCGTACAATAAAAAACAATGGAAAGGAAGACTTGAAGAGGCTTATGTTCAGATGTGGACCTGAGTGGCTAGACGAAGAAGAAGAAGGCCATTTCTTGTGTAGTTTTCTCAAGCTGAAAGTCTTTGTGAGTAAGCCACAAATCACTTCATGGTCTTCAAAGCCAACAGAGTCAGTCTATGCCATCGGTCAAATTCAGCGTGATTTATGAGCCAAAGTCATAAAAAATTGAACATTTCAGATGAACGCCATGGTGAGAAATCGAAGCCATACATATGATAAATGACAAAAAGAAATCTTAAAATAAATGCCTTAGGAAATGAGGATAATTCTAAAGTAGACGTGCTAATACTTAAGAAAGCTAAATAACTCAAATTGAACATTTGGTAAGGATTAATCAACCACAGTCCAACATTTAACAGTAAAATTGGGGAAAGGATAATTATGTAATTAATTATATTATGACTTAAAAAACAGTTTCTCTTTAGCTTTCTTTAGTAAGTAATAGAAAAATATAGTGTAGAATACTCTGACTGATACTCTCGCATAATAATCAGTTGTATTTTTGTTTAATACGTTATTTTTGTATGCAGATTATCCTATTTATTTACCTGTTTGCGCTGAATAAATAACACCGAAAAGAACACCCAACAAAACTACGTTCATTTCACTACGAATATTACATTAAAATAACGGCACAAGATTCCTTCTGAATGCATTTAGGTCAAACAAGAAGTCATTAAACGGGAATACTAAACTCTCCAGTCGCCTGATATAAACCAATCTTGAGAATTTCATTTATTTTATTTATTTGCGCACTATAAAGGAGTCTAGGGCCTCGAATTTTATAGGGGAGACATCGCGTACGTGTTGAATGGAGAACTGACAGTAACATAGCAAGCTGATCGAGAAAAATACTCAACATTCTGATACCAAAAGGTTAAGGATTCGCCAACCCCACACGATCGCATGCCATTGATGCGTCTAAAAATAATAGACGGAGGTAGTAGTATACACGGCGTCCCGCGAATCATCATAAATACTTTTGGAAAAATACCGTTCGCAGCTATTTAGATTGATATACTCACCTAATTTTCTAAGTATTATAAAGTATAGATACTTAGAATTTCGCAATATGTCGAATATCATAGAAATTTCAGTCAAAATATTATTCATTTTTCCACAAAGGCATGGAAAAGATTATTAGTTTCTAGATGATCAGATTATTTGTATTAGATAGCAAAGGCATATAAAAATCTATACAATATATTTATAATATAGTGAAATATATATAGCGGCACTGCCCATAATTTCGTCGTGGTACATGCAATAGGTTGAATGTCAATTAGGTGCAATTTTACAGGAAGGACTAAAAACTGATATTTCGTTTTTTAGTTGGTTAAATATTTTTTATGACAATGAATTTTGTTTTGAAATTGAGTATGAATTTATAATAGATTAAAAAAGTGGTTGTTGACTTTACAGTTTTGGAGGAATATTAACATAGGGTAAATTGCGACTTAAAATCAAACCATTTTGATGACATAGGTGAAATTAATTTCAGAATAGAAGTAGGGAAATAAAATCGTGTAGTCATTAAAGTTTTTATTTATTAAATAAGAGCAAAGAACAAATTTATTTTTAATTGTTTTAGTTCTTGTAAGTCTTCATATTTTGATGCTTCGATTACAATTGGCCCTGTGTACAGTTTAAAATAATTTGGTAGTGACTCCAGGCGCTTTGATCTTACAGATAAATCAGCCCATTCATCTTGGAAGTACAGTTTGTAACGAATAATGTCATTGGGGTATACTGAAAACCAACCATATCGTTAACACAAGGATCACCGGCTTTATTGCCAGGGCGAATTTATTTGTAAGGTAATGTCTCGTAGAATTCACGATAATCTTGTAAAATTAATTGTTTTAGTTCTTGTAAGTGTGGATATTTCAACGCTTCGATTGGAATTGGTCCTATGTACAGTTTGAGATGATTTGGTAGTGATTCCAGGCACTTTGGTCTTACAGGTAAATCAGCCCATTCGTCTTGGAAGCACAGTTTGTAACGAATAATGTCATTATATACTGAAAACCAACCACATCGTTAACACAGGGATCGCTAGCTTTGTTGCCAGGGCGAATAGTTTTGTAGTATACTGGTTCAAATGCATAAAAATTATCATTACTACAATAAATTATTTCATAGGGATCGGTCGTTGTCTCGCAGATTGAATTATTGGAATGTAGTCTGCTGGTGTATAGACCTCTCTACGATTGCACAATTTTTTTTAATACTAGAATGAATAGAGTCTACTTCCATGAAGGTGTGTTCAACTTCCAAGTATTTTTGTTTAATATTTACTTTTGTTTTAATGCTTAATTTAAGAAGTGCATTAGAAAGCTTAGTATTTCGGTTTTGGTAACCACATCTAACACTCCAAACCGTAATTTTTTCTGGGTGTTGTTTTTCTATCACGTTTGTTAAAAAGTCTGCAAATAGAGTATAAATATCTATATTCATGTTTTGGTCTTTGTCGTGGTGCTTGATTTTCTTGTTCTTCTTCTTCCTGTTCTCCGTTTTCCTGTATTGTACTGGGTTGATCTGATAAAATCCAAGAGCGCACAGTTTAGTAAAAAGCAAATCCGGTGCTTGTTCTTGAAGTATTAGTTGTTTTTCTTCTGTATTTTGGACGTGCCTGCAATATAAACCCAGTGACGTAATAATAAACAATCACAAATGACAACAAATTAGAGCGAGAAGTTGAAACGAGAATAATGACAGAAAACAGATCTTTCTTTGCAATGCAACATCTGATGAAGTCGAAACAAAGATCCGGATATATAAGACCATAATACGACCAACAGTCGCGCATGGAAGCGAAAAATGGACGATAACAAAAAGAGAAGTAAATAAATTGCTGGTATATATATATATATATATATATATATATATATATATATATATATATATATATATATATATATATATATATATATATAATGGCTATACACCCCAGTGTGGGGTTAAACCGCAAATGCTTTATAGATCATATTTCTTAAGTGGATCAGTCTTTTTTTTTTTTATCTTATCTTCTTGACAATATCTCTCCATTTTTTCCTGTCTCTAGTTTTTCCTCTCCATTCACTGACTCCTGCCCTTTGGAGATCTTCTTCAACTTCTTGCAGCCACTTTGATCTCGGTCTTCCCCTTCTCTTTCTTCCTCCTGGATTCCATTCTATCATTGCGTATGTCACTGCCTCATCTCCTGCTCGCCAAATGTGACCTAACCATCTAACTCTGCATTGCTTTATTTTAGTTACAATGTCTTCCTTAAGTTCTTCCTTAATTTCTGCATTTGTTCTGCTTCTATATTCATTTTGCTCTGTTCTGATTGGTCCTAGTATGGTTCTCATAATCTTTCTCTCTGCAATTCTTAAGTCTTCTTCATCTTTTTTAACCATCGTCATTGTTTCCCCTGCATATAATAATATTGGTCTAATTATGGTGTTATAAATGCTCATCTTGCTTTTTTTAGTCAGTGTTTTGCTTTTAAGTAATCTTTTGTTTGCAAAATAAGCTTTATTCGCTGCTAATATTTTTTCTTTTATTTCGGATTTCCTTTCTCCGGATTTACTTATTGTAACTCCTAGGTATTTGAAGTATTCTACTTCTTCAAACTCGGAACTTCCTATTTTGATTTTTTCCTTTATTGGTTTTTTCCCTAATCTTAATATTTTTGTCTTTTCTTGATTTAATCTTAGCCCCATTACCTCCCCTTTCTCTCTTATTTCTTCAAGCATTTCTTTCATTATTTTTCTGTTCTTTGCAATAATAGCAATATTATCTGCATATGCAATTATTTGACCACCTCTTGTTCTGAGATTTCCTTTATTTATATTTCGCAGTACATATTCTAATGCTAGATTAAATAGCGTTGTTGATAAGGCATCTCCTTGTTTCATCCCTTTATTTATACTGAATTCCTCTGTCTCTCCTCTTTGTGTCTTTATGCTTATTTTTGTAGTTTCTATTGTCATTTCTATTAATTTTCTGAGTTTATGTGGAATTTTTAATTTTTTAAGTGCTGTCATTAATGCGTTCCTTTTAATAGAATCAAATGCCTGTTTGAAGTCTATGAATAACATTTCCAATTCTAATTTATACTCGTTTGCTTTTTCCATTATTTGTTTTATTGTGTGTATTGCATCTATTGTAGATCTTCCTTCTGTGAATCCACATTGGTACTGTCCTACTGTCTTCTTTGTGATCTTTGATAACCTCTTTTTTATTATTGATGTCAATATTTTATATGTTGTATTTAGTAATGTTATTCCTCTATAATTTTCACAGATTTGTTGGTCTCCCTTTTTATGTACTGTTATGATCTGTCCTACCTCCCAGTCACCTGGCATTTTCTCTTCTTTCCATATATTTTTCAATAGTGCCAGTATTTTTCCTCTTAGTTCCCTTCCCCCGTATTTTATTAGTTCCATATTAATTCCATCTTTACCTGGGGCTTTTCCATTTTTGCTTCTCTGTATAACTTCATCCAATTCCTCTAATGTTGGTTTTTTTGAAATTTCGATGTCTACTTCATTTGCTTCTTCTTCGTGTACTGTTTCCTCCTCGTCATGCATTTCTTCTTCTGTTGTTTCCTCCGTCAAGAGCTCTCTGTAGTAATCTCTCCATACTTGCTTGTATTCTTGGTCCTCTATTATCACTATTCCCTCTCTATTTTTTATTCCGTTTGTTTTGCCCTTGTATTTTTTGTTTTGTTCTTTAATCTTTTTGTAAAAACTTTTCTGTATTTCTGTTTGTTCTTTCCTGCTCTATTTCCTGCATTTTTTTGTCTACCCATCTTCTTTTATTTTGCCTTATCACTTTCTTAGCATTCCTTCTTAATTTTTCATATTCTTCTCTGTCTTCCTCTTTATCTGTTCTTAGCCATTTATTTCTGGCTTGCACTTTTTTTCCTGTTATTTCTCTACATTCTTGGTTATACCATTCGTTTTTTGTTTTAGCCTGACTTTTACCTATCTGCATATTTGCAACTTCTTCTATTGATTTTTTGATCGTCTCCCATTCTGTGCTTATATCTTCTGCTTTATATTTCTCTTTTATTTGAACTGTTACTGCCTCTTCATATTTTTTTCTTACTTCTTCATTACTCAATTTATTGACATTCCACTTTTTATGTGTTGGTTTTTTTGTTTTGTTTCAATTTTAACTTTTTGTCTTATAATGGCTGTGACCATGTAGTGGTCTGAATCTGCACACGCACCTCTGAACGTTCTTACATCTTTTATTGACGATTGTTTTCGTTTATTAATCATTATGTGATCAATTTGACTATATGTTTTCTGATCCGGTGACCTCCATGTTACCTTATGTACTTTAGGGTGTTCAAATTTTGTCGAGCTTATTAACAAATTTGCTCTTGTTGCTAGGTTACATAGTCTTTGCCCATTGTCATTCGTGTTTTCGTGTATTGTATGCTTTCCTGCAATTTGCTGTAAAAAGTCCTCTTTTCCAATCTGGGCGTTGAGGTCTCCCAATACAAATATGACATCTTCTTTGGGTATTTTTTCTATCTCCTCTTCGACCTTATCATAAAAGATTTCTTTTTCGTCTGCATTGCTTGTTTCTGTGGGGGCGTATAAATTCAAGACTGATATATTAAATGGTTTGCTGTTGACTCTAACATAGGCCATCCTTTCGCATATTGGCTTGAAATTTATAATTTTCTCTCTTAGGTGACTAAGTATCATGAATCCCACGCCTTTTTGCCCTTGCTTCTTTCCTCCTGAATATAACATTGTAAAGTCTTGTTTATCAATCTGTCCCTGTCCCTCCCAGCGTAATTCTTGCAGTGCTGCAATATCTATTTTAT